AAATTCACTGCACCTTCAAAAAAATCGAACTACTGCTAAAATTTACCTCAGTTCGAGACATTAAATATCCTCTACGAAAGTCAGAGGAAAAAATATACTTTCTCTCTGAAAAAAGTGGGTTGGGCTTGCTTAGACATAGTGTACGAATAACCAGACTTGATAAATTAAAAGCATTGAAGTCCCCAAAACAATTAGAAGCCGATAAAGGCTGTCCTTGATTCATAGGTGGTGAAAAAAGTGGTTACTTGATAAACTAAAAGCAGTGAAGCCCCCGAAACAACTAGAAGCCTATAAAGTCATAGGTGGTGAGAAAAGTAGTTTCAGTGGTGACCAAGTAGTGGTAGAATTTATGGGGCGGATGAATGGTAGGAAAGTGGCGGGTGGGCGGGGCGGGGTTATCTAGTGAAAATAGGTCAGTAGGAAAGAAAGTCAGTAGGAAAGTAGGTCAGCGCAGGGTCTACTCCTGTATTAGAACTACTATCCTGAAAATTTTATTCGCGGTCAAGTGAGATGTATAGTCTTCAACTAAATTGCGAGTGTTAATATTTTCTAGATAAAGCTTGTACTTATAATTAGAGGCAAAATTATTGGTGTAGACAGCAACATCTCCTTTGTCATAGGTAGAGGGTTTGAGCTTTGTTATTGCTGAGAGGTTTACTGTATACTGTATACGCACGGAACAATCTGACAGCAGTCAAAAATTAATTTTGGTTTTCTAGAAATTCAACTTTCTTTATCATATTCTTTTCGTTTTTGTTCCTAAAATAGTTTCTATGACTTCAATAGCCATATCTTTATTGTCAATACTTTGATTGACATGTCTCACAATTTGGTTCACACTTGCAATTTCTGCTATTGTCATTTCTAAAATATCATCGAATATCTGGTCCATCCGTGGACGACGTCTACAGGCAAAAGCCTGACAAATCCATGATTGTCCTCTACATCCCATACGGAAACGGACTGAAGTCTCCATTCGATATTGGCTGGTTTATATTCTTTTTTCACCAGCGTCATAATATACGCCTTACTGTCTCCACATTAGTTGGTAAATATCATCAGCCATAATGTCAATTTTATCTACTACTTTTGAAACTTGCCTAAAAGTAGCATTATTCCAGGGTTGGAGGTCAAATTCGACAGGTGTTGAGCTTGCTTCAAAGCTCTCTCCTTTAGTTAATCTATTAACTCTATTAGTTACAATTTTATTCATGGCGAAAAACATTACATTGTGTGACGATGTTAATGCAGCTTGTTGCTTCTGTCGTCTTATGCCCCTGCCTCTTACGTACATTTTATAAATTATTAATTGAAATTTCCTCTTCTAAAACTTCTTCTAATAAATCTGATTTTCCTACCAGAAAAACTTATTCTGTATATTCATGTTATAAACAAGTATTGTAAGTTGCGGGTTCTAGATCCAAACCAATCACAATGCAGCATTGTCTTTCGCGATGCACCGGCGCGAAGTGGACGGCGACAAATGTCTCGCGAATCACTTGTGGCGTCGCGCAGCCAGCTGGTGGTAAGGACAAGGTTTTTGGGATCTGTCGAGAAACGTAGAATCAGTCGGTAGACGTTGATGCACAAGCCAGTCAGAAATTGAGCTTGAGCAGCGCAATAATTTTTTAATCAATGTTCATGGATTGTGTTGACGTGCAGAATAATGACCATGCCGGTTTTTTCCAGGTCAATAATATCGACCCTTTATCCACCCAAAATACATTCAGATCGCGTGTCACTACAATACTAAATTGATTACAAAGGGGTCAGAAATGCTAATGACACTGACACAAATAAGTAAATTCGAAAAATTAAATAATAGTCCAATTTTCCTGAAAGGTAAGGAAGCTTCTGGTTCTTTCAAGTAGGCTGTTTTTTGAAAACTATAGGTTATACAGCGTATGGATGAGAAAGAAAAGGAGGTATGCTTTATGGATTTCGCAAACCATAATTCGGAGCGAAAAACACAAAGTCTACACGATGAATCAGACAAAAATTGGTTTAAGCTCGTCTGACGACAAGCGATATTTAATCCCATGATCCAATAATAGCGACATCTTGCTTACAACTTTATATATACATATATTTATGTTTATATGTTTATAGATTTATTTGTTTATAGATTTATGTGTTTGTGTGTTCATAGACTAGTATGGAATAACCCATAAAACATTCCATGATATTCTCATAAGGTTGAGTCAAATATTTCACAGCTATGAATTTGGTCACGATCTGGAAAAAGCATTCCAACCAGTAGGTAATATTCAGGCATTCTGGGCCAAGAAAGAGACGAGACAAAGAGACACCATCCCCCTACCGCGCCCTCATAGGAATCCCCCTAGTTTTGATCTCAAGCAATCCCCCTACCTCTCAAGATACTACCACCCTCTATGTATCCCCCTACCCATGTATCTCGCCACTATTCAAGATAGTATCATCCCCCTACCGCGCTAATTAAAGTATCTCTCCACCCTGTAATTATCTTGAAATAGACTGAATTTTCTCTATACAAATCATTGAAATTTTGTCTATATGAACCATTCAAGTATTGTCTTCAATGCAGTATACGTTAAATAATGTTTAAATGTGATAAGTGTGATAAACCATTCAAGCATCAAACAAATGTCTATAGACACAAGAAGGAATCGTGTGTTTTCCGTTGTCCAGGAACTCTGATTAAAGTAGCTGAAGAAAAACCCAAAATTCCCAAACTAATCTTGAAACGTTTTGCTGATATTTGGTTTATTAAAGGCAGCCAATCAAAAGCCAGCATTTGTGCCAGCAAAAAATAAGAGCGAAGGCTATAAATTTCTGGAGCTAAAGATGGAAAACCTAGATGATTGCCCCATTTGCTTCGAGACAATAGAGAAAAAAGATGCCAGCCAACCAAATTTGTGTAAACATCAATTTTGTTTAAAATGTTTATTTGAGTGGACTAAAACAAATGAAACCTGTCCCATGTGCAGAAAATTTTATTATGCAATAAAATTAAAGGACAGATATTTACCAGTTTTTAAGGAAGATGGACACGATCAAATGTTATTTTTGACAATATATTTTTTGTTAAAGTAGCAGGTTTTAAAAAAATTTTGATTTACTATTTTTAGTCATAAAAATGTATATTTGCAAATAAAGAAGTGTGATATGAACTCGTTTTTTTATTTCCTGTAATTATTATGCGAGCGTCTACTTTTCTGCCTGGGTCAAAAACAGCTGCAGGTAAAGAATGCAAATTGGTTTAACATCTAAGGGTTTAACGATCGAGTCGGCGAAACCCATGTCTTCTTTAGTTTAAAATTTTTACAAGTATAAGTAGGTCGCGTTGTATGTATGAGTGTTTTCAATCAAATATTTGCTGTTGAAAAAATGTGATTTGAAGTGTGTTTGTGTGATTACAAAATGAGTTTCAAAGCAATTTTTTGGATTAACTCTTGGATTAACAATTGAAATTTTCTGGGTAAATTTTATACTAAATCTACTTTATATCTATTAGATACCTAGGTATTCAAAAGGTTTTTTATTAGTTTACAATAAAACAAAAAATTGTTTTTTATTTTTTTATTAGATAATAAACAATACATTTGAGTTTATACATGTGCTTTTAAAAAGTATGGGGAAACCTAAAACTAAAATTTTAAAACATTCCTTGAAAGACCTAATCTATTTTTTTAGAAAACATGAAAAGTTTTAATTATTAGCAAATTATAACTTGAAATACATATACGTGTTATTCACTTAATATTTTAAAAAGTTTTTTTTGTTCATTTAATAGGTTATAATTGTTTTTTATAATAATTTCACGTTGTTCCAGAAGAGCTAAACAAGCTTTAGATTTATTTACCAAGTCCAAATATGTATTAAGTATGATTTATGATTTCTGCTTTCTGTCTTATGTCATCCAATGCTAAATCACGTTCAATAATATCACGCATTTCTGTTTCAACTTCAGAATCCATACTATTTTCTGTAATGTCCATGTGAACCTCTTGCTGCACAGAATTTTTACTTTCCACTTCATTCAACACATTTATTAAGTCGTTGATGATAACATTTTCTTCATAATTTGTACAAGGAGTAAGAAAGTCTTCATGTCACTCCAATCCCGCAGAATTAGGAGGAGAAATGTATTCGTAGCGTTCATAATTTGATTCCACATCCACATTTTTAGTTTCCACTTCGTCCAACACATGTATTAGGTCGTTGATGATAACATTTTCTTCATAATTTGTATTAGGAGCAAGAAAGTTTTCATGTGACCCCAATCCTGCAGAATTAGGAGGAGAAATGTAATCGTAGCGCACATCATCTGATTCCACATCCACATTTTTACTCTCCACTTGGTCCAAACACATTTATTAGGTCGTTGATGATAACATTTTCTTTAAAATTTGTACTAGGAGCAAGAAAGTCTCCATGTGAGGAAGATTTTTTTTCATTATTTGAATGATACTTAATTATTTTAACACTAGCACTTTTTGACATGATAACTTGTTCAATTAAGTTTACTTTAGGTGCAACAAGATTTTTTAAAATTTTGGCTTTGGGTTTCCCCATAGCTTTTACAGAACACGAATAATTGTAAACTAACTGAAATATGTACAGAATCTCTTTTTATAATAGGTTTTTTGAATTAATTAAAGCATTCATCCCTTATTTTTCCAACATAAAAAGCAACCCGCATCTTTACACACCTCTGCAAAATAATGTTTTTGCATGCAATTTCACTAAATATGAATATTACTCACAAACAAAAAAAAAAAAAAAAAAAAAAAAATAATTTACCGGTTTAACCATATGTTTATATTAATTTACTAGACCAACATCGGAACAAATGTCTCTCGTCTGAAACTTTTATAAGTCACCCAATAAAATTTGCTAACTAGATTTTTATTAAAAAAACGATCTTTTGATCAGATTTGTAGTCGTGTGGTAGTTTACTCCATATCTCCAGTAATTCAAAAGGGTTGGCATTTTTAATCAAGTAATCCAAAGGTATCATGTTTAATTATTCGCTGGTGAAGTCTGTAAATTGCTTTTTCCCGTTAATATGGGATAGCAACACATCAACACAAGAACACCCAATCATTTCACAGAACTTTTTTGGGTTTCTGAAATTTTCAACTTTTCTCGCTCTTTTATTCCTTTTTTTGATACAACCTCAAGCCAAGGATGAACAAATTAAACTATTTTCTATCACTACCATTCAAACATATTTAAAAGATAATATTTTTGTGGGAGGAGACTGTCGAGTTAGGATACTCTATATTACCTTTTCTAACAAGAATGAGATCCCTCCACCTTTTTTATTTCTATATTTAAGGAATCCTTATAGCGTTGGTGAACATTACGATTTTAACAGTTGTTTGAATATTATCTCAAAATGCAAAGTGCTTATAATACTCAAGTTATGGAGAAAAACGATACAAGATACGATACATTCGACTCAAACGTTTAGAAAGAGAACGGGAATTTTGATCAGTGAAACAAAATATTTTCTAAATAAATCCAAAAGTAAATGGATCAGTGTTGGTTTTTCGTTGGAGAGAAAATATGAAGTTGTGATTAAGTTGGGTGGAATTGAAAATAATCAACACGTTATATTCAATGAAGACCAATGGATATCTTTTTTACACAATCAAGGAATCATGCTAAGTTTTGTTTACTCTAACAAAACCGGATGGCAACCCATGCGTGAAAATGGTTTTCAAATCCACTTCGTCTATATGGGAGATGCAAGAATTATCAAGATAAGTCAAGACGGAGGCAATGAAGTCTTTTTAGCAGGCGAAACCATGAGTGAACTCTCGAACTTGGTGAATTTAGTTAAATATCGCTGTGATATGTTGAAATTTCAAGAATTTTCAAAATATTACAATATTTTAGTGAGTGGTGTCTCATCAAAATCTGGAGATCTGATGAATAATCTGTATAAAATTATTTCTCCTTCAAAAAATCCCAATAGTGCAAATATTTGTTGTATGTTGGAATTATTAAATTTCTATTCTGATTGTATTATTGAGGATGTAGAATCTTTTGCTTGCAATGAATTTGTAAATAGCTGTATTGGAAAATAAAGTTTGACTTGAATAATGTCTTTTCATCCTCCCACCTTAAGTAAAGAGTATTTAAGACGTATAAATTTCTCTGTGAGCTTCAGTCTTTATTAAACAAGTCAAGATGTGGTTAGCTTACGTAGAGTACAAATCAGCATACAACTTAGTATCTGCTGTTGAAAATTTGGCGCAACATTTAAGAAATTTACAATTTGATGCAGACCATGAAGCAGTATACGGAATGAATCAATTTTACAACGAAGAAGAATGTACGAAAATTGCCAAAAACTATGAAAAAGGAGTAGAAGCATGCAATTTATATCTGCACACCTCGGATCTAACAAGTTTTCTAGAGACAATCAAAGAACTAGGACTCACACAATTCCTGGAAGAAGTGGAAAAATTCGCACCAAAAGATATATTCAAACAAACGCTTGAAAATTAATTTCAATAAAAAACATTTCGTAAAAAAAATCGTTTTATTCAACCATTAAATAGTTATTATAAAAATGGTGTACGTTAGATAAAGCACAAATACATTTCAAACTTGAATGATAAAAGCATTGGGGTTCATTAGGTTGTATTGTCATGAGATTTTCTTCAAGTTCTATGACGGGTTTCGTTGAATATTTTTTTATGTATTTAGCTTTTTCTGCTCCCTTGACATACACTGTATCAACTTTTTCAGTCAAATTTTTGACTATTTCGGAAAATTTATGCACTTGTGTAAATCCTTGTTCCCATTGAATGCAGTGGTGATTTTGTATTAGCCATTTAGCTTGCTTTACTAAGTCTGGTGGTAAATATCCAATAGGGTAAGGTGGCTTAAAGATATAATGGCATACTCTTTTACCATCAAAAGCTGCCAGTTCTTTGGGAATAAATTTGTTGTTTTCTACTTTGAACCCTTGGACATCCAATACTAATTGAATCATATTTTCATGTCTGAAAACTTCTTGAACATGTCTCTCTTTTCAGTATATTTTTTTTTGTAGCTTAAGCAGTTTTAAATTCTCTTGGAAATTGAGTAAACGTTGCTGGAGTTCTGCCGACATACTGATCAAAAATATAATGCTGCTTCTCCTATATAGATTTGGGCTGGTTTTATCTGGATTTTTGCTGGTTTTAGCTGGTTTTGTGCTGGTTTTTGCTGGTTTTCTCTGGTTTTCACTGGTTTTTGCTGGTTTTCACTGGTTTTAGCTGGTTTTGTGCTGGTTTTTGCTGGTTTCGTGCTGGTTTGCTGGTTTCATGCTGGTTTCGTGCTGGTTTGGTGCTGGTTTGCTGGTTTCATGAGGGTTTCGTGCTGGTTTTAGTTGGTTTCGTGCTGGTTTCGTGCCGGTTTTTGCTGGTTTCGTGCTGGATTTTTGCTGGTTTTCACTGGTTTTCACTGGTTTTTGCTGGTTTCCACTGGTTTTAGCTGGTTTTGTGCTGGTTTTTGCTGGTTTCATGCTGGTTTCGTGCTGGTTTTCACTGGTTTTAGTTGGTTTCGTGCTGGCTTTTGCTGGTTCCGTGCTGGTTTCGTGCTGGATTTGCACTGGTTTTCGCTTTATAGTTGCCTAACCACCTTGGTGAGGGGGTTATAACTGAAAACTTTATCATGTAATATAAGACAATAAGCTGATGTATTTTTATCTAGATCCTTGTGTAAATCAAATTCTACTCTCATAACAACGGGGCCTGCTTGTAGAGATTCTTTCTGATGCGAGCAATTTATGTATGCAATAGGTGCTGTATCTTTAAATTTAACAGGATCAAACAAGGGTTCATCAGATTTTCCATAATAAGTTGTTTGAAACTGAGAATACATTTCATATAAAACAGCGTATCTGTTTTTACTTATATCTAAATTAAGATCGTTATATGGATATCTTTCAGAGTTCAAAAATACTTTAATATTTCTCAAGTTTATGTCATCGAATTCACTCATATTCGAGCTAAGAGAATCTCGTTTTTCCGTTTGAAATGCAACAATTACATGACGAGGTGTTTCTACCCTGGTTGACGTTTTTACGGGCCAGTTGTGTCTATTTGATTTTAAAAGCTCCGGATACTCGATTAATTCCCAACTACGAAAAGCAATTAAAATATCACTATTTTTATCGATAATTTTTGTTAGGGATAATTCTTGTGGAATCGCTACTGAAATATGAGGAATATTCCATGTTAGTTTCGTTAATGTGATCTTTGGACTTTCAGTTGCATCTGTTGATATTATTGCGTTATTGTCTGTATTATCTCTAACAATAATAAGTTCCTGTTTTGCATTTAATATAACTTTTTTGTAATCTTCAAAAAATCCCATCAATATTTTTAAAGGGATACAGACATTGAATAATCCTGTATTTTCATCAACTACTCTTTGCTATGTTGTAGTAGTGGTAGTACCCGTTGCAACTATTTCTGTAGAAAACCACCCTGCATTTCTTAATTTGTTAGATTCGTTTACGTTGAAGGAAAGATATCCTTTGAGGGTAGAAGTTAAACCTACGTCTCTTACAGAATCTATAGTAACCCCATTCAATTGATATCTTATTTCATTGAATAGAAAAGCAATTCCATTATTAACAAGTTGACAGGTTTTTGAAACAGTTCCATCCGATTTTGATAATTTTCCTTCTATATACAAAAAACTTTCACATGGAAGCGTATATTTTTCTATTTCATGCACAGGAATTATAATTTCATCATTGTTTCCTAATTTTGTTGGCAAATAAGGCTCATAAGAGTGGATTTCAGAATGAGTGATGGAATTATCAACGTAAAGTTGTTCTGTAATGTTCAGTATATTCATACTAACACTTTTAATCCGAGAGATTGAAGAAATAACTTATTTTGTCTTGTTAACCCTTTAGAGTTAGCTCGCCTACTAACCTTTTTTTCATCAGATTTATCTTTATATGGTTTTTCAGATTCAGGTAACTGGAAAGTTGAACCCTGATTGTATAAAATTACCATTATTCGACCTTTTTTATATGTAAGCGAAGAGTGACTGTTTCGATTCGGAAATTAACCAAGTCCCCGTTTTGATCTATTATTTTTACTGTTATTTTATCTATTACTTTGACCGTCACTGGAAAATATATAATATTTTGTGGACTTTCTATTATTTTGAATCCTGGTGACACGTTGGGAAAAAATTGATGAATGATGTGAACTGGCACTCCGTTTAGGTAGGATCCTTCAGCAATACTGCAGTCTACACACAGAGAATTAACTTTTATAATTTCAGCTGGAAAATCTGAAATTTTGACTGTATTGTCTCCTTTTAAAGTTTGATTTCTAAATCCCAGTATTGGACCGATAGTTCCATCTTTGAAAGTAATCTCTACAGATGATACAATTTCTGACTTTAGCGTGTTATTATTAGCATTCAACTGAAAAGTTATTTGTTTCTTTTTAAACTGTTCTTGTAAATAATTGTTTATATCTTCCATCTCATAACTTCCTGGAGGAATTTCAATAAACTCATTTTTGTTTCCATAATATAACTTATTGTTTTTTTCGTCTACGTTGGGAATGGCATTAAATGTTTCAAAATTACTTAGTCCTATAACATAATCAGATTCAGCATCCAAATAAATAGGAGGATTAAAATCTGCATGAAGCTTGTTACTCCTAGCTGAAAGCGCTATTGTAAATGACATGATGTTTGTTTCTAGAATAACAAAAACTCATTATAGCGAGTTCTTATATAGAAACTGCAAACATAATTGTCCACAATTTTCAGTATTGTAGAATTGATATTGATCATGATTATAAATAATCTTGTTTTTGCTACCATCACTTAAAAAATACGTTATTAGCTCTGTGGGTGGTCTCAAGTTTCCAAAACTGTCAAAGTAATTTATATGTTTGTTATTTTTTATATACGCCGTCCAATGTGTGCCTGGTCCATAATGGTTGTCCAAATTAATAACTCCACTTTCATATCTATTTATGAGTTTTGGTAGCCTGTTTCGCATAAAAACTCCCCTAAAATTAGGAATTTTTAACATCTTAACGTATTTTTTTATATCAATATTCGTGAGAGGTTTGCGTGGTAGCATGTTTAGAAGTTTTTTGGCTTTAGAAATAGACCACATCCAGTTTTGAAGGGTTTCAAATAAAGACCGCTTCCCTTTTTACCCAACGCTATGGTCTCCATTTTTAGATTGTGACGTTTTTGTTCCTGCAACTTTTCGTTAGCAGCTTTAGCGTCATTAACTGCTTTAGCTATACCAGCTGCTCCCCCACCAAGAGCTCCAAGAGCAGATAAGCCAGCAAATAATGGAATAAGAGGTAGAATTCCTCCTGATTTTGGAATAGGAATAATTCTTTTTGGTTGCTTTACATCAAATTTTTTAATAATTGACAAGGAATCCTTTGCTGCAGCTTGTAAATTTTTGTACTTTTTTTCAGCAATTTTCTGTTTTGTTTTCCATACTGCTGATTGAAATGAGATTTCTGGTTTCCTTTTTTGTTTAAGTCCTTCACCTCTTTTTTTCATTCCCATCCCCAATTTTGTTTTTGTTTTCATGATACCACTCACACCCAAAGCAACAATTTTCTCTCCTAAACCAGAATCTGAAGACTTGAATCTTTGAAATGCTTTTTTCGCTAAAACCCGATCGGCTTTATTTCGATTTTTGATATCGGAATATTTGCTATAGGCTATATCGTGTTCTTTGCAAGCCTCGTCTAAAGGATTTATACCTTTATCTCCTCTAGAGAGTCGTTTACTTAACTTTGTACCGGCTCCACAATAGTTATAAAATGGAATATGGGCTTCAAAGGGTAATTTGTCAATGAGAGAGTTCAAAGAACCACCTCTTTTCTTGAAATTCAAATCCATATTAGATTTGATTTAGCCTTATCATTGGTTTATATAGATATGTAAGCTTATTGTTTGATGAGACACAGACAAAGTATTCTTCAGATAATAATCTTTTTGTTTTTTGCATCAAGGGGAGCAAATGTTTTACCGTTTTCACCATCTGTTCTTTATATAAAAACACACGAGGGTACCATCCGATTCTGTCTGG